GGAGGAGGAGGAGGAGGAGGAGGAGAAGGAGGAGGACGAGGAGGAGGGAGGCAGGAGGGAGAGAGAAGAAGATAATGAAGGAGGAGGAAAGGAAGGAGGGCACTGGTCAGTAGAACTCCCTCGAAACCCGCGCCCCCGCAGAACACCCTGAACCCCGTGGAGCTCCCCCAAAGCTCCGAGAACCTTCTCCAACCCTCTACGAACTCCTCTTCGCTCTCCCTCCTGCCTGCTCCGCCCCCTCCTCCTCCTCCTCCTCATCATCATCCTCATCATCACGCTCCTCATTCTGCAGCAGCAGACGCAGGCGTCTCGCGACCTGGGCCGACAGCGAGCGCACCTGCGCGTTCGCCGTAGTGGTGTCGGCGATGAAGGCCCCGGGCTTCTTGCCATCCTTGCGCAAGCTCCCGACGACCTGAGGCTCTGGCGCCCGATCAGCCCGGGAGTGGGAGAGAGAAGGAGAGGGCGCCGCCTCGGCATAGCGGCCCCGATTGCGTTCGAGTGCAGACCACTGCTCGGCAGAGAGAGGCAAAACAGAAGCCAGGCGCCGTGCCCTGCAACAAAAACCCCGGGTGGAGTGGACGACTGTTGGCGCTAACGCGTGTCCCTCCAGCGCCCTTCGGCATGCAGGGCGCAGCGCGCCGAGGGCCCCCACGGGCTCCAGTGCCATCGGCGGAGGTTGGCGAAGTGCATATACATCGGGCGATCCCACGTTTCCTGGGCCATCGAATGGAGAAGAGAAAGAGAAAGAGGAGGAGGAGGAGGAGGAGGAGGAGGAGGAGGAGGAGGACAATGAGATGGGTGTGAGAACGAATTTCCACAGCCGCGCTGCAGTCGAAGTCTCTGTTCGGGGGGGGGGCGCGCACTCGACCTCCACGACACACATCAAACGGCATTGATGTCCCGGCGGTGCCACAACGATTGCATTGCCCGTTTACGAGCTCCAATGCTAATGAGAGTGTCAGCCTCCGAGCTCCAATGCTAGCATGCGAGCTGCAGCCACGAGCCCGAGAACGCCACCGCCAACGCGTGCAGCCACCCTGCCATCCAGCCGCCGCAGAGACTCCGCAGCCGCTGGAGCCCAACGGAGAAGGCATGCACAGACTCGTCGATGCCCCCTGCGAGGACGAGCGCGCAAGCATTGGCCACTTCGAGGGCCCCGTCGCAACCGCAGAGACTCCGCAGCCGCTGGAGCCCAACAGAGAAGGCATGCACAGACTCGTCGATGCCCTCCGCGAGGACGAGCGCGCAAGCACTGGCCCCTTCGAGGGCCCCGTCGTCGCCGCCGCGCGCGGCCGCCGCCAGGGCAGCGGTGGCCGCGCGCAGCGGCGACCGCTACCCAAGCAGCGTCCTGGCTGTTTTTTGTTTTAAAAAATAAAAAATGACTTCGAAAAACAGTTTTCTGCTGCGCCAGGGCCACGAGCCCGGATGGAGAATCCGAGCGGACGCGTCGGGTCCTCGGCCCCGAATGGGCCCCCGGGCGGCCACCAAGAGGCCCAAGGGGCACCCCAGAGGCTCCCCAGAGGCCCCCGAAGAGGCCCCAGAGCGGCTCCCAACAGGCCCCCGAGAGCGCCCCGAAGAGACCCGAAGGAGCAGCCCTGGAACTCGGACCCACAACCTAGGCACGGTGACGGGATGGCCGAAGCGAATGATATGGATTGGATTGTATTGTGTTGTAATGTACTGTAGCAAAGTGCGCTGTGTGTTGTATTGTACTGGATTGTAGCGTATTGTACTGTATGGTGTTGTAATGTATTGTTTTTTTTTGTTTTTCTGATTCCAGCCTTTGGCCTTCATCTTAATTAGCAACTGGCTAGAACTCTCTGTCTCCTTGGACTCAACTGCTGGCAATGGTGGACCTCTTATCGCATGTGCAGCGTGCAACTCTCTGCCGTGAGAAACGTGGGGCCCTGACGGTTTCAGGACGGCATCTATCATCAGGTCTTTGTTGCAAGGGGTGTTGAGGAATCTCTGTATTGCATCGTATTGTAATCGCGTGTTGTATTGTATTGTTTTGTAGTGTGCTGTATTGTAGTGTGTAACATTGGATTGTAGTGGATAGAAGTGTAGTGTCGTGTACTGTACTGTACTGGATTGTTTTGGGTAGGATCGGTTTGTATTGTAGTGGATTGTAGTGTTTCGGATTGGATTGCTTGGGATTGCACAAGGTGTATTGGATCGCATTGGATTGTACCCCCCCCCTACTTTTCCTCGCTCCGTCTCCTCGGGCCGGCGCCGGCGGCGGCTGGCGGCGGCGGGGGTGCTGGTGGTGGTAGTGGCGGTGGTGGTGGTGGTGTGGTTTGTGGTGGTAGTGGTGGTGGTGGTGGCTTGTGCTGCTGGTAGTAGTGGTGGTGGTTGTGGCGAAGGTGGTGTGGTAGAATGTGGTGATGGTGGTGTTAGTGGTGGTGGGTTGTTGTATTGAACGTGGTGGTGGTGGTGGTGAGCTCTTGTGGCGGTGGTGGTGGTGGTGGTGGTGGCTGTGGTGGTGGTTGTGTGGTGGTTTGGTGGTGGTGGTGGCGGGTTGAGGTTGTGATGGTGGTAGTCGTGGTGGTGGCGTGCTGGTTTGTGGTGGTGGTGGTCGGCTGTGGTGGTGGTGGTGGTGGGTGGTGGGTGGTGGGTGGTGGGTGCTGGTGGTGGTGGTTGTGGTGGTGGTGTGGTGGTTTGTGGTGGTGTTGGTTGTGCGGTGTGGTGCTGCTGGTAGTGGTGCTGGTGGTGGTGGTGGTGAGTGGTGGGTGGTGGGTGGTGGGTGGTGGGTGGTGGGTGGTGGTGGTGGTTGTGGTGGTGGTGTGGTGGTTTGTGATGGTGGTGTTGGTTGTGCGGTGTGGTGATGGTGGTTGTTGTGGCGGTAGTGGTGATGGTGGTGGTAATGGTGTGGTGGTTTGTGGTAGTGGTGGTGGTGGTGGTGGTGGTTGTGGGTTGTGGTGGGTTGCGGTGGTGCTGGTGGTCGTGGCGTTTTTGGTGGTCGTGGTGGTGGCGAGGTGGTCCGTGGTGATGGTGGTAGTTGTGGTGATGGTGGGTTGTGGTGGTTTTGTGGTGGTTGTGGTAGTGGCGGTGGTGGTGGTGGTATGGTGGTCTGTAGTGGCGGTGGTGGTGGTGGTGGTGGTGGTGTGGCCTTCGGCTCTTCCTGCCACTGTGTTTTGGCAAAGGGTCAGAGTTCTAATGGATGCCTCTTGAGGTCTCGTCAGAAGGGTCTCGGGGGCGTCTGAGGAGCGTGCGAAGGCTCGATATGGCGATTTGTGTGTTCCCTCTGCGGCCTCTGGGCCCTCTCTGGTCATCGTCGCTGCGTCCCCGCCGTCGGCGCTGCTGGCCTCTGCCAGCACCGGCGCCGGCGCGTTGGGGGGGGGTTGAAACCCCCCACCCCCTTCTCCTGGGCCCTCTCTGGTCATCGTTGCTGCGTTGGCGCTGCGGCGGCTGCCAGCGCCGGCGCCAGGGGGGGGCGGGTTGGACCCCCCCTCCCTGGGAAGGGGGAGGGGGGGGTGGGGGTTTCGGGAGGGGGGGGGGGTTTGGGGAGGGGGAGGGGAGTCCGCCTGATTCTGATCGACGGCGCCGAGTGTTGGGGGGGGCCCACCCCCTGGTTCGAAACGCGCAGCCGAATTTTCCCAAGGCAAGCGCCCGTGAAACCCGTCCTCTCGTATGTATGTATGTCTGTCTGTCTGTCTGTCGGTCTGTCTGTCTGTCTGCTTGTCTGTGTGTGAGTATGTATGTATGTATGTATGTATGTATGTATGTATGTATGTATGTATGTATGTATGTATGTGTGTGTATGTATGTATGTATGTATGTATGTATGTATGTATGTATGTATGTATGTATGTATGTATGTATGTATGTATGTATGTATGTGTGTGTGTATGTATGTATGTATGTATGTATGTGTATGTGTGTATGTATGTATGTATGTATGTATGTATGTATGTACGTATGTATGTATGTATGTATGTATGGATGGATGTATGTATGTGTGTATGTATGTATGTATGTACGCATGCATGCATGCATGGATGTATGTATGTATGTATGTATGTATGTATGTATGCATGGATGCATGCATGCATGCATGCATGCATGTATGTATGTATGTATGCATCCATCCATCCATCCATCCATCCATACATACATACATACATACATACTAGGACCATCACGCGCGGTTCGCGCGCGCTCAAGTTCTAGCGAGCTTCTTGGGACCTCTTCTTGAAGTCGTCATGGGACCTCCTTGCCATGTCTTCGGGGGCCTCTTAGAAAGAGTTTTGAAGCCTTTTGGGTGCCCTCTTGTGGCCTCTTGGAGCCTCTTTTGGGCTTCTTGGGGGCCTCTTGGGGCCTCTCGGGGGCCTCTTGGGGCTTCTTGGGGGCTTCCTGTGGGCATCTTGGGTCCTCTTGGGGGCATCTTGGGGTCGAGACCTTGATTTTTCGGTTCGCGTTCCCTCTCTTGGGCCTCTTTTGGGGACTTCTTGGAACCCTCTTGCTGGGGACTATTTTTTGAGTATGTTTTGACATGTTTGGGGCATGTTTGGGGTATTTTTCATTTTTCGCTCTGGGGCCGTCTCGGGGCTCTCTCGAGCCGTCTTAGGGCTCTCGTGGGGGCCTCTTGGGCCGTCTTGGAGCGGTTTTGGGAGCCTCTTGGGCGGTGCTTTAGCGCCAGAAACACCAAACAGCGAGAATGCGCAAAACATTGAACAAAAAACAAAAATCGGAATCAACGATTTTGCCCTCAAGGGGCGCTCTTGGGCGGCATCTTGAAGGCCTCTTGGGGCGTCTTGGGCGCCGCCGGGGCAGTTTCAAACGCATCGTGCGTCGCCAGAGACTGGGTAGTCGAAGCCAATCTGGCGCCAATCTGGCAGGCCCAATCTGGCAAACGGGGGCAATCTGGCGAGGGAGCCAACGCGAATCCAGTCTGGAGAATAACCCAAATCATCCAGTTTGGCCAGGCCAGATTGGCCCTTGGGGCCCAATCCAATCTGACAGTCTGGCCTTCGACTACCCAGAGAGACCCCTGGACGGCGTCTTGGGGGTGTCTCGAGACCGTCTGGGGCCGCCCGGATTGCTGTCTGAGGGCTCCCCGGGGCGATTTTAGGCCTCCCAGAGGCGGGCCCGGGCCGCGGGCCCCACATTTGCGGTCGAGGCTCCGGCCCCCGGCCCCTGGACCCGGTCCCCAGTTATATGTATACATACATACACACATGTATATATATATGCATATACATATATATGTATATATTACAGTTATGTATATATACACACACGCATGCATGCATGCATGCATGCATGCATACATACATAAATACATATATACACACATACATACACACATACATACATACATACACACACGTGCACATATATATATACATATATATATATATATATATATATATATATATATACATACGTGCATATGTACATACCGATTCCCCTTCCTAATTTTTTACGAGCCCGGGCGGGGGGACCCCCCCCCCAAAGCCGGACTCCCGAGATCTGGGGCTTTGGGACCCTCCGGACGGGCCTCGAAGCGGCCCCCCGGGCCTCGCAGGGCGTTTTGCCAAGCCTTCCCAGCACCCGACGACGGTCCCAGACGGGTTCCAGGCGTTCCGGCGCGCTCCCGAAACGACCCCAAAAAGCCCCAATACAGTCCACGACGACGCCCACGAAGCCGTCATACCCCCAAAGATCGCTCCGAAACGTCCCAAGAGGCCTCCAAGAGCACTCCCAAGAAGGACCCAAGAGGCAAAAATCTGTGATTTTCCTTTGGTGTTTGATGAATTTTGGAGTTATCCTGTTTTCGGCTTCCCGACGCCCCAAGACGGGGGTCTTCTGGGCGTCCGAAGCCGCCTGGGAGGCTCCCAAATCGCCCCACAACTATCCGAAAGGGCTTCCAAGCAGTCCAAGACAGCCCCAAAACGGCACAACAGGGGTCCAAGATGACCCTAAGAGAGCCCCATGGCGGCCCAAGATGGCCCGAAGATACCCTCTGAAGCATTCAAAATCGTGACCCAGTCATTCAGGGAGACCGCGGTTGGAGGCATGGTGGCCCGAGGAAGCCCCCAGAGGACCCCAGAACACGCCCAGGAGGCCTCCAAAAGGCCTTAAGAAAGCCTGACAACTTTTGTGAGGCCCCCAGAGGCTCTCTAAGGAGGAGCCTCCGCAAAAAAGAACTGAGGAGGATTGGGAGAGTGCGGAGGGTATGGCGAGAATGAAGAAACAGAAGCATGGAGGAGGGATAACGAATGACATTATGATAGCGACGATGCTGGAAAAGGCAACAAGGAGTTATCGCTAAATTGCCGGCTTGACCTTCCTGCCATCCCGCCTGCATGCCGAACTGTTAAGGACCAAGGTGAATGGCGCGAAGCGCCAATGCAGTCTTGTATATATATATATGTATGTGAATGTGTATGTATGTGTGTAAACGTGTGCGCATGAGTTGGCCAAAGGCAGCCACACCATGTCCAAATCATGTGTAAAGAAAATGATGTTCAGTGATTTCGGCTTTCTCGCCGTGTTGCTTCCATGGGCTTCCCAGGCGCAGAGGGCTCCAGCATCGCCCAACATGTTTTGGAGTTTGGGCTGGGAGGACTCCAAGATGGCTCTGCAAACACGCAAGTGCGTCCTGGGAGAAGCCCGAAAGAGCTCCCGTAGTGCATGAGAAAGGCACAAGACTGGGGATCCTTGTGGCAGGCCTCAAGATGCCCACAAGCAAGCCACAGACTGTTCCAAGGCAGCTCCATGGTTGCCCACGATGGTCCAAGGCAGCCCCCAAGAGAACCCAAGAGGCTCAAGCCCCTCAAATAAGCAAAATCACTGCACATGTTCGCTTCCCGTGGGCGTCTGAGGCCTCAACATGGCTCCGAGCGAAGCCTAGACGAGCTAGGAGAGAGAGAGAGAGAGAGAGAGACCCAGCAAAGATCTGACAACGCGCCAATCAAGACACTGACAAGCCCGAAAACAAAGAGCGTGGGGAATCGCAACCCAAGGTGGCCCACCACCGAACCTAAAAGGCCCCGCGAGCCCCCAGAGGCTCCTGAGACACCCCCAATGAGCCCCCACACACATCCCAGAGACTCCCAGAAATCCGCCAGAACCCCCCCTGTCCATACACAAAGTTACCACATGCCTTCATAGAGACGATCGCGCCGTTCCGATGGCACTTGCATGAACCCTCGTGGCTGTACCCTCTCACCTATGGCACTTCCCAACATTCCCAAAGTCCAACCATGATGCAACCTGTGCAGGCGGAATCAGCCAAGTGAATACGTCCCGGCATAACGCGAAACACGTCTTTCGCGGGAGTTCAATAGGTAACGTGAGGTGACTGCGCACTGACGAGCGTACGGTTACCCGATCCACTCAAGCTCTCATAGACGCAATGTGATGCGCAACAGTTGGGCTGTTCTGCTCTGCACATAGAGATGCTGGCACGACCTTTGTGGGGTCGTTGTCGAAGTAGTGGGATACATCCGTAAGGGAGATCTCGCTGCTGTCCAGATTCTGGAACGTCACGTCGACCTTTGGATGCGACTAGGAACAACAAATAGCACACACCAGTGGCATCAAAAACTGTTTGCTCCGCGTGAGACAACGGCAGGTTTGGAAATCAAAGAAAGGAAAGAACTGGACAGATAAATGGATCACATTCGAATATCTGAGGTACCTACAGCGCGGTAGGTTGATGATCATCGGGAGCGGGCAATGCGTTGCCCTCGGACGGGAGACCCTTCAGTGGGAAAATCCCAGAAAGGCGGGCCAACAGAGACTTACCAAGTGTTCGCCTTTTTGGGTTATCGTACCCCCTTTGTCCGCGACAAGAGCAGCAGGCGAGGCCCCTATGCCTCTCTTCCCTCTCTCTGGGATCTCTCGCAGAAAATATGCAGGAGAGCTCGCAATGCCTGCTGCGTGCTCTTTGGATGAACAGGGAAACCAGGGGTAGACACGAGGGAGAATGTACGGTACTGAGACCGCCCTCGGTGGAGAACGAAAATAGCATGATCTGGCCCGGTCCATCTGGAACCTCCTTTTGGGCGCACACCGGGTTCCAAACCTAGCTGAAAATCGCTCCTGGTCGCCACCTCAACTAATCAGACCTCCGACGTCGCAAGTTGTCTCGGCGTGGGCCTCCTCAATCCTTTTTCCTGGGAGCATGTTTTCGTCGCGCTCACTTTGTTGTTGATAGCCCCCGATTTCGAAAGCGGCCCCCTTACCCCGACAAGGACACGGATCAGGGACCCATGGCCGTCCACCATGTAAGGCCGGTTGATGTCGTGTCGACGTGGGCGTTGGTTTCTGAAGCCGCGCGGAACGTTCAGTCTTGAGCGACCTCCCGCTATCCGACAGCGGAGATCCTTCAGATTTGGCCTGGTTCCGGCCGCCGTTCCCTTCGATTGTAAGCGCCCGCGCCACCGTCGCCGCCGCGTCGACGCGGCGCGAGCCCGCCGGGGGCCGCCCTCGCTCGAAAACGAGCCCCGAACCCCTTCCAGGCACTGTCCTGGCCAGTGTTTCGAGCTGCGCCCCCCAGCAGGAAACTCGCACCGTTAGGTCCGGCATGTCCCCCTGCAGGCGAAGTTTGGAAGAAAATGCAACATATGCCAACCAATGCTCAAACATGCTTGGAAATACTAAAGATAGGCCTATATGTAGGCGAGGCAGGACGCTTCGCCACTGCTTGAGATTACTGAATCCCTCCAGATGGAGTGGAGGAGGGATGAGAGGAAGGAGGGGGGGGCGACTTTTCATCCCCTCAGTTTCTGCCACCCGCCGAACACGGTCCTCTGGCCCCCTGTCATCGCCCCCCTCTGTCCTCCAGGAGGTCGTTACCCCCGGGCCCCAATCCTCCCCCTTTCCTTCCTTCTCCTCCTCCTCCTCCTCCTCCTTGATCCTCGAGCACTTATAACCTCCTCATCCCCCACTCCCCATTTCATGCACTATAGCATGCGGAAGCAAGTGTCACACAACCAGGACGCGACGGAAGAGGTTCCGCCGCTTCTTTGGGCTTCCTCGCCTGCCTGAAAGGGGCAGGTCGAGGCCGAAGCGTGTTAAGAAATCGGGCTGGGCCCCATCGTTCTCCTCACAGAGAAGCAACTTGGGGGATGACTTCGTCAGAACGACTAGGGGCTGTTGAGCCCGATGAGAAAGCCATTAAGCCGGATTGCACCCGGGATCAAACCGGATTAACGTCAAAAAATCTTCAATACCCCCCCCGATCATGCAACCATTTTTGTCCGGGTGCCAATGGAAAGATTGGGACACCCAACAATACCCAGAAAATGATTAATCCACTGCCGCCACCGTCGTCGCCACCGTCTCCGTCGTCGTCGTTATCGCACTAGCCAGCACGGCCAACAATAGTGGACAAAATAATTCGGCCACCGACCCACGCACCCACTTGCCAAGCCAGAGCTTTGGGGGGGGGACCTGCAGCATTCAAAACGCATTGAGGTTAAACGCGATTCAGCGGGATTAAACCAGAATAAGCAGGATCAAACCAGATTTGGACGGATATCGATCAGGATATATGAGCGCCGACTCTGAATTGAACCTCCGAAAACATACGTGACTCTGCTCTGGCGTTCCCATTCTGGAGCGTCCAGGTGTGAGTGCGGCTGTACAAGAATGTGCCTGGCCGACAATCTGGGCGCGGACGGGCCCGGGAGACGCCCCCTGGCGGGTCTCCCCTTGGGAGGCTCCAGCGCCATGCCTGCTGCGCCGCAATGGTCACGCGGCTCTGGAAAGAGGCGCATGCACCCGGCGACAAAGAAGCAACTCCATGCGAAGGGTCCCAACAATCGGGGGGCGAACGGGCCCGTGGTATAAACATTGGCGGACACGTGGCTTGAAAAAAAACGCGTCTACTCTGCCAAATCGATACGTCTGCCAATCGAACGCGAACTGGCCCGTGATATACCCGCTGGCGGTCCCCCGCTGGGGGTCCCAGGCACCATGTCTGCGACATCGCGACGATCACGGGGCTAGAACAGAAAACGCGCCTAATTGCCAAAACAGTCATTCCGCCCGGTATGCCTTGACGATATCAGCACGAAATGGCCAGTGAACATACCCCCTGGCGGTCCCCCCCTGGAGGCCCCCAAATGCATCGCCTGCTACATCGTGATGGGCACGGGGATCTGAACCAAAAACACGTCTGCCTCGCCAAAACCCGGACAATCTAGGCGCCAATTGGCCTGTGACATCGTGGCGGGTCTCCTTTTGGGAGCGCCTGGCGTCGTTAGGCTCTGACGAGAAAGGCGCCTCCCCACCAACGCAGCCATTCCACACGACAGGTCCCGAGAATGTGGGCACGAACGGGCCCGTGGTGTACTCCCCTCTGGCGGGTCCCTCCTGGGAGGTCCGGCTGGAATGCCTGCCACACCACGAGGATCACGGGGCTCTGGCACGAAACGCGTGCAGTCCGCCAGAGCGGGCATTCCGCCCGAGACGTCCCGACCACATGGGCGAGAACGGGCTCGTGGTATACTCGTGGCGTACCCCCCCTGGACGGGTACCCTCTGGGAGGCCCAAGCGACGTGGCTGCTGCATCACGGTGACCATGCACTGCGAAGACAAAGAACGCGTCTACCCCGACAAAACAGAAATCTGACCAGACGGGTTACGACGATGAGCGCGAACGGGCCTGACACATACACACTCGTGGTTCCCCATTGGCATGCGTTGCTGCATTGCGATGATCTTGGGGCGGTGGAAATGAAACTACCCCGAACACCAGCCATTATCCAGAAGATGTGCTGACAAGCTGGGCGCGAACTGGCCTGTAAAATATCCCCTCGTCCCCCCCACCCCTCTCCCGTGCCCCACCCACTGGGAGACACAAAAACAGTACCCGTTTCATCGCGATGCTCTGAAAAGACACGCATCTACCCAACCAACGCGCAACGGTACCCGAGAGGGCCAGGCATCATGGGCGCGAACGGGTCCCTGATAGACCCCCCTGGCGGGTCCCCCTTTGGGAGGCACAATCGCCGTGTCTGCTACAGGCAATGCGCGCCCCCACATCCCCCCCCACTCACGCAACGGTAATCCCACCAGCCCTTTAGGGCGTAGGTGGTCTAGAGCGTTTCCTCTGCCAACCCCCCTTCTTTCCCCTCGGGGAGGGGTTTACCCCTCCCCTTACCCCTCCCCACTGACCTGGACGGGGCGTTCCGCGACGCGTTGGGACGCCCAAGATGGCCCAAGACTGCTCCAAGAGCGAAAAGGCGAGAAAGCACAAAACATTGATTTTCCTTAGGTTTTGGAAGGATTTTGGCCTCTTGGGGGGGCCCAAGAGGCGATCCGAGGCACTCTAGAGGGGCGAGGCTAATTGAGGCTCCCCCCTTCTTTGATATATATTCCCAACATGGCCCCAAGAGCGCCCCGAAGGCTCCCAAGAGCGCCCCAAGAGCGCCCCAAGAGCGCCCCAAGAGGGCCCCAAGAGGCGCCCAAGATGCCTCCAAGAGGCTCCCAAGAGACTCCCAAGAGGCCCCAAGAGAATCCAATATGGCCCAAGACGGCTCCAAGAGCGAAAAGGCGAGAAAGCAAAAAACAATGATTTTCTGTAGGTTTTGGACGGGTTTTGGCTTCTTGGGGGGGGGCCCAAGAGGCGACTCGAGGCACTCTAGAGGGGCGGGGCTAATTAAAGCTCCACCCTTCTTTGATAGATCTCCTCCAAGATGGCGCCATGAGCACCCCGAAGGCACCCAAGAGCGCCCCAAGAGCGCCCCAAGAGAACCCCAAGAGGCTCCAAGAGACGCCAAGAGGCGCCCAAGAGGCCTCCAAAAGGCTCCCAAGAGACCCCCAAGAGGCCCCAAGAGGCTCCCAAGATGGCCCAAGACGGCTCCAAGAGCGAAAAGGCGAGAAAACACAAAACATTGATTTCACCTAGGTTTTGGAAGGATTTTGGCCTCTCGGGGGAGCCCAAGAGACGACTCGAGGCACTCTGGAGGGGCGGGGCTAATTGGGTAACCCCCCCTTCTTTGATAGATCTCCTCCAAGATGGCCCCAAGAGCGCCCCGAAGGCTCCCAAGAGCGCCCCAAGAGCGCCCCAAGACGGCCCCACGAGGCCCCAAGAGGCCCCCAAGATGCCCCCAAGATGCCTCCAAGAGGCTCCCAAGAGACCCCCAAGAGGCCCCAAGAGCCTCCCAAGATGGCCCAAGACGGCTCCAAGAGCGAAAAGGCGAGAAAGCAAAAAACAATGATTGTACCTAGGTTTTGGAAGGATTTTGGCCTCTTGGTGGGCCCAAGAGGCGACTCGAGGCACTCTAGAGGGGCGGGGCTAATTGGGGACCCCCTCTTCTTTGATCGATCTCCTCCAAGATGGCCCCAAGAGCGCCCCGAAGGCTCCCAAGAGCGCCCCAAGAGCGCCCCAAGAGCGCTCCAAGAGGCCCCAAGAGGCGCCCAAGAGGCCTCCACAAGGCTCCCAAGAGACCCCCAAGAGGCCCAAGAGGCTCCAAAGACGGCTCCAAGAGCGAAAAGGCGAGAAAGCAAAAAACATTGATTTTCCTTAGGTTTTGGAAAGATTT